TTAATTCGGGAAAAAATCTCTCTCTTTAACCAACCACACCAAACACCAACCTTCCAGTATATATACACACTATATACAGCAGGATAGCGATTATACTTTATCGATTTTTTTGCGTTAATGAATGTTAGTTGTATCTTTGATATGTTATAAATATCTACAATTAACAATTAACTTTGCTTTTTGATTAACTATTTCTAATGGACATTCGTTTCTATAATCGAAACTTCAGTTTGTTCACACTATTCGGACGTCTAGCATGATTAGTAACGTAGAATTTGTCACGTCATGTGGGGTTTCCATTATGCGTAGTTTATAATTATATCTCGATGAAAATTTACGTTTAAATTACCGTTAATTGTATTAGATACTAGAAATCAATAACACCAGTGATTAAACAGTAACTAAAGGGTTGTATTAGGTAGGTGATAGAATGTATGGATGGATGAAGGATGAGACAGCAATAGATTGTGGTTAACCATTAGATTTACATCGTTGGTAATAATCTTCTTGCGGTGTCTCTTGAACTTGAAGAGGATGAAACGGCCCTTGTAGGTGCAAGGATGGCAGTTGTTAATACCGTTGCTCTGCTTTGCTGCTCGGAATCGAGAATTAATTCGGATCAGCATCGTATTATGTTTAATATCCGAAAACACATTTGATCAAGCTCTGAAAGATGCTGAAACTGGGGCTACGCTGTCTTCGCACCATACGTCATCGCCACTATTGCTAGTTACGTTAATTCTTCAGCTGAAACCTTGCATGTGTATCAGGTACACGCAATTATCGAGTTGTTCGGAAAGTTATTTCGTTTTTTCTCGACAGAGGATTTAATTGTATTCTTTTGCACCCAACTTTACATTTAAGCCGAATAATTTTTATATGCTTTGAGAGCTCATATAGCAAGGCTTGTGTGTGAAAAATTCCAATTAATCCCAGTAGTTTTTGGTTGGTGCCCTTTTAAATATGGAAGCAGCATTTTCGACATATCTTACTGTTTTACTACAGAAAGGGTAAAAATGCTGTTCAAGCCAGAAAGAAATTGACTGATGTGTATGGAGAAGGTGTGTTGACAGTACGCCAGTGCCAGAACTGGTTCGCTAAATTTCGATCCGGCAATTTTGATGTCGAAGATGCACCACGTTCGGGAAGGCCGGTTGAAGCTGATAAAGACGCGATGAAGGCATCAGTTGATGTGAACCGGCGAATAACAACACGTGGGATCGGATTGAGCTTAAATTTATCAAATTCAACAGTTTATGACCACTTGAAAGGCCTGGGATTATCCTCGAAGCTCGATGTATGGGTTCCCCATGTTCTCACAGAGAGAAATCTGTGTCGCCGCATTGACGTCTGCGATTCCCTTCTCAAACGTCACGAAAATGATCCGTTTTTGAAGCGCATCATCACAGGGGACGAAAAATGGGTTGTATACAACAACGTCAAACGCAAGAGGTCATGGAGCAAAAAAGATGAACCGGCTCAAACCATTTCCAAAGCCGATATTCACCAAAAAAAGGTGATGCTGTCTGTTTGGTGGGATTTTAAAGGAATCGTTTTTTTTGAGCTTTTACCGGATAACACAACGATTAATTCGGAAGTCTACTGTCATCAGCTGGACAAACTGAATGATGCACTTCAACAGAAAAGGTCAGAACTAATCATCAGGAAAGGTGTAGTGTTTCACCAAGACAACGCGAGACCTCACACCCACCATATTCTCCAGACCTAGCACCATCGGATTATTATTTGTTCCGGTCACTCCAAAATTTTTTAGACGGTAAAACCTTCACCTCAAATGAGGAGGTCAAAAACCTCCTCGATCAGTTTTTTGCCAGCAAAGACCAAAAATTTTATGAGCGTGGAATTATGCTACTACCAGAAATATGGAAAAAGGTGTTGGACCAGAACGGTCAATATATAATTTAATAAAGTATTTGTTTATTATACGAAAACTGTCTTTCATTTCCACAAAAAAAAACGAAATGACTTTCCGAACAACCCTATATATACCTACACGTATGGCTCTATCCACATAAATAAAAAATATTTTAACCATTTGAAATTTGATTATTACTAATTTTGATGAGCTTTCGTTACTGGTTGCTTGTGTATGTCAGTTGGTTTTGATATTTAATTTTTGGTAATGATTTCTGACTTTCTAAAGAAGACGAAACGGTAAGAGAAATGTTAGAATTACCTTCCGAAACTCAGCCAAGGGGTAAAAGTGTAGGACTTGTCGAGGTTCGTTGACAGTGGTGGATAGTATCAGCAGTAGTTAAGCGAGTTAGGGCTGGACCGTTCTCGACATCGACATCACATTAATTTCCCTAATAAAGTTGTGCTGGAGTTCAACTAATATTTACTTTACTATGTAGAGTAAGTGCGGTTGATATAATCGGACGTTTTACAGGGTGTTCTTGAAGATAAATCTCCCGAAAGGCGTTTTCTAATTTTTATTTGAAGAAGTTGTGAAAGGGTGACGTTGGATAGGGACTAGTGTTCGGTACATTCGACAGTATGTTATCCAGAAACTTATTAATAATTAACAAGGATTAAAGGAAGACAGAGTCAATTATATTGATGGTTATCTTCGGAAAATTTTACCGAGATCCTTTTAATTTTCGTGAAGAAATTACAGATTGTCTTTTTCGTTTTCGCTGCTTGGTGTTTTGTGTTGAACATTCAGTATGGGTTTATAATTTTGAACGAGGATGGCTGCTGCAAGTAAATTACATCAAGTGCTCTCTTCTCCGCTGCATCGACATCTCTGCAAAAATTTGTCCTTTAAACGGTTCAAAGCAGCACCGATCTATCCACGGCCAATCATGTGTATACAGTTACTCACCTAATTGGTCACATCCGTTACCAAAGAGTCCAAAAATAAGGGGAAGCGATCGCGTCGGTAAATTCGTTTAATCTTTCAGTTAATGTGATTAACTGACGGCAATTCAATTAGTCTTGGTTTTTAGTTTGTATGGAAAGTTTTTCCTGCTTTCCCATTAATTGGAAATACCTGTGTGTAGTCTAATGCATTTTTCGTCGAAAAGGTTATAGGTCAACAGTGACATTAGACAATTAGTTGTTTGAAACCTTTTAATTGACGAAATTATTCCAACGATAGTTTTCCGGATACCTCCAGTATTTTTTCGCCTGTTTTCGTTTTCCATCGGTAGGTGTCATTTTCTGAGGTACTTGACAGCGTCTAAAGGAATACAATTTTGTCTACAGGGTAAGAGTTTTATTGGCTACTGGAATTCAAAAACTGTAGTAGTTTTAATGGACAGACACATTAGCAGTAGGCTAATTACCAAACATATATATATATGCGTTATTGGCCACATCGTTATGAAGTGGATCTTGCAGACTTGATGATGATTATTTTCGTGATAATATATCGTATTAATGGATAATTGAAAGTAAATTAGTGTTGTTGTTATAGTATTTTAGTGTGTTGATGTGGTTGTTGTGGGTTTTAAGTTAACGTTAGAAGAAACCGTCGAATTTGTAGAGTTTAATGGCAATGTCGTTTATTGTAGGAGCAATAATCTTTCAATAAAAGAGCGAAATAGAAGGAATTAAAAATAAATGGAAACTTTTTCTGTAAGACCGGCGAGATTACAAATAATGAAAGCCCGACTGGCATTGCGTTTAGAGTTTTAATGGTCTTAGGGAGTATCGTGCGGAATTAGTCGTCAGGACAAGTATCTCTGGAATATTTACTGGTTTTTCCAAACGAGCCGGTCCAAGACAATGCGAAGCCGCATCGCGTCGGGTGGTGTTCGCCTGTTTTACTTTGCGTCATCACAGTCACAAGCGAGGGGAGTGTAAGAAGGTCGAGCTCGTGATTTTCTCATAATCCTCGTATAATGGTTCCGTAATTCTTCGCCCAGGATTCAACTCTTTCTCCGATCGCCTAATGTATTCGGTGGCTTGTTCGGCGAGAAAGAACAGAAGAAGAAAGAGCAGCGCTACGTACCTACTGTACGCCGGAGGTGGCAGAAACGGAGAGCCCTTATTCTCCTTGCTTTGTCTTTTCGACGCGCTTAAATTTTTAACAGCCAGCTTTCAAGTCGCCCGAGTATCAGGGGTCGAGGATTAAAATGTAATAACTTTCTTAGGCCCGAAATTACATTTTTAATTTGAATAACTTTTTTTTTCTCTTGTTGTTCATCTGTTCCGCCATTAATACGTGCTTTAGGCGCGATTCGGTGGCGACGTTATGAGCGTGACCGGGGCTTAAAAAGTATGATGAAGCACTGCCGAAGAGGCTTCGGAAGTATCATGAGAAGAACGCGAATAAGAAGAGGGGTGGAGGGCGGACGTTTGGTGGGTGGGTGGACGGTGCCCGTGGACACCGCCAACTTCCTCTTGTTGCAATCTGATCACGTAGTTAATCTTTGCACGTAATGAAAAATTGCATGTTCGTTAGGAGCTGCTTAAAAAGAAATTGTAGCTAAGGAAGATGCTACCAAAGGATCGCTATCGTCCTTGCCGCTGACGCTTTATGCTAATACCTTCGACTCTATCTAATATTTTATCGTCCCACAAATGACTTACCTACTTTGTTCTTATAAACTTGTAATTACCAATATTGTCTACCAAATCTACAATACGAACTTCCTAAATGTTCGAATCGTACAAATTCTCAAAAGTGGACGATAACGCTCCCCTGTGGGCATTAGAGTCCTACAGGGTTGCGGTAAAATTCCCCATTTTTTTTTTCCTGTGGAACCCTTTTTGACCCCCTTCTATCAGAACCCATTTGACCCTCTTTTTTCAGAACCCGTTTTGACCCGTATTTTTTGCGGAACCCTTTTTACCCAGCTTTTTTTGGCAGAGCTCATCCTCAGGGTATTCATCTTTAAATCCGATCCGATGATCATTCAAATTTGAATCAGCTAATTCAAATTTTTGTTTTAAAGAGGGTCAATTCTTAAATCGATCAAATTCTTATAGTTATTTCGATACATTGGTAGTTTATTCTGATTTGCGATTGGATTCTATACTCAAATATCCTTTGAAGGACTGTTTGAAGTTAAAAATATGTTTATTTATGTCATTACTCACACTTGAGGTTACTTCTAACTCATTTTTCTTTCGAGAAATCTATTCAGAATAGAAAACAACCGTAACTAAGTATGTTTAGGTAAATTAAAATAATTAATTCTCAAAGGCAGTAGACGAAACAAGTTTGAGAACCTCTGTGTTAGAATGAATTTATCTACTTGAATTCATGCAGATAACGTTTCCTGGCAACTGATCTCCCTCTTAATATAATCTAGAAGATATGTAAATAAAATTTTAATATCACGCATATCTCGCGGCAAGCCTAATATTGGTTTGGTGCAATGCGATGTTTCGACTATGATTATTATTATGCAGTTATCATTTTAATTTTAAAGTAAATTAGTTCAAAACTAACTTCCTTTTGTTAACCAGTTAACCAAACCTGAAGACAAATTCCGAGTTTGTACTAACAATTATAAATTAATTAGTGTGTAATTGTATCGTAGATGCATGACTGACTGGGTGTGTGTATTGAATGTGCTTGTATTATAAATAATTATTAAATAACACAAACCGAAACATTTTAGCGGTTAGAAATAGTGATAAGCAATAGTAGATAGTAATAGTATTAGAAAGATAAAGTGTGAGTATTTTTTATTCTGAATTTTACTAAACAAAAATTAAAACAGTGTGTTCAAGACTCATCTGAAATAGTAATTTACTACCTACTAACATAAAGTTTAAAGAATAGTACACTAGTATAACTTCCGGTGTTGTTAACGATTAATTGTATGATTATTGTTCTCTTGCGGTAGTTTTCTTGCACATATTCGCTTATGGGCCTGCTCCTGTTATACTGAAATTAAGTTGAGTATATCATCATTAAATGAATGGTTCCACTAACACACTTACTATTACAACACACCATTTACTATTCTCTTGTCGTGTATCTGCAGCGATGTGTATAGTTTGAACACTTTATAAATAAACTATCTCGCTGATTATTATCAACAAGACCAAGTACATATGTAATTTAAATCATTTTTTTACAAAGACGTATGCGACTTTAAGTAAATAGTGGTTCGTGAATTATTTACAACTTATTTTTGTTAGGTAAGTTAAGTAACTATCATTTTTCAAAAGAATTATGCTTTATTATCTTCTTGTGCTACTTCACATTTACATTTTATTTCTGCAAAAGCTTCCAAGGTCAAGACAGAGACACAAGCTTTAGCGATTCGTATTAGTAGTCTTTTGATGATCTCTTTTTTGTAATTCATTGAAGATTTATGAAAAATTGCAATTATTAATGGTAGCTTATTATATACCTCAAGTTGATTGCTGATAGTAAAAAATTTATGATTACCTTTCGCAAGGTAAATATTACGTTTCCACAATGGCGTTAGTGTTGACATTTTTTTAGATAACACCATTGCGCTCTATTTGCAGAAATAATAGCATATCTCTTTCCATTTTTGATTTCGTTCCATTCGCTTCAGTGCGTTCGGTATTTATGTTAAATTTTACGTGATTATTAATTTTTATGATGTCTGGTTGATTTCTCTAGTGTTTTAGTAAAATGGTGCACAGTTGACACCAGAAGATGTCATCGAATTGTGTGACGAGACAAGGCGATTTGTTAAGAAATGAAAAACAGGAAACGGAAATTGAACCTATGCTTACGATTAGAAAGTTGACGGACGATGAGACGCTATGCGGCTTTTGGATTTTTAAAGGTCGCTTTCTTCAGAAATTTGCAAACAAAAAAGCTTTCATAATATTGTATGGTATATTAGGATGTTTGTATGGTTCAACGTTTGCTTATTTTAATGGGACCATTACAACTCTAGAAAAGCGATTTAAAATCACTAGTAGAACTACAGGTTCGTGATCACATAAGTGCACACATTTCTTCCATTTTGTTTGACTCGTGTGTGGTAGCTATTGGGTATTTTAGGCATAATAACTGTTGGAAATGACCTGAGTCAACTATTGGTGGCAGCAGTGCTAAGTTATTATGCAGGAAGAAGACATAAACCGAGATGGATGGCGTTAGGCATGTACTCGGTTGTCTTATTCTGCCTTTTGTCAGCTTCCCCGCACTTTTTCTTTGGACCAGGAGAAGATGCTTTATTATTAACAAAGGAATATGGGCCGATCCTTAAAAGTAACTTAACCAATTCGATAGATACCAGTTCGAAAAGGTCTATATGTAAAACGAGCAACGTCACAACAGAATGCGCCATGAAAAAAGGATCTTCAACCCCTCAAATAATTTTTTTCATTGGACAGTTCATTTCTGGAGTGGGCTCTCTCTATTATTCACTAGGAGTCTCGTATATGGACGATAATATTAAAAAATCAAAAACACCAGCGGTTATAAGTAAATATTCTCACTTAACCCCTATGCATATAGAAAATGTGTATATTAATTTCATTCCTAAAATCATTATCGCTATTTGACTTTCAGGTATATCATTTTTTTTAAAGATGTTGGGTCCGATGATTGGGTACACATTGGCGTCGTTTTGTCTTAGAATTTACATATCTCCTACGTTGACTCCCACAATTACGTATCAAGATCAACGGTGGCTGGGTGCATGGTGGTTGGGATGGATAATTCTCGCATTACCAATATTTGCACTTTCTTCCGTGTTAGCCCTCTTTCCTAAATCGTTACCGAGAGCAGCTGCCAGAAGATTGACAAGGCAAATGAGCTCGAAAGCTTCTAAAAATACATTAGAGGACGATGCTGAAATACCTACCTCGTTCAAAGGTTAATTTCAACTCTTTTAAGAACCACAATCACACACGTTATCATCTTTGAATTTTACTTTTGCAGTATTATCAGAATTTGTTCTTTTCATCATCATCGTAAGGTCGTCAGTCCTAAGACTGGTTGGACACGCGCCTCCACTCTTTTACTATCCTGAGCTAATCTTCGCATTTACCTAAAACTAGAACATCCCACATCTACATCTACATCTACTCCTTCATGCCTAAGAAGGTGTCCTACCAACCTATCTCGCCTATTTATTATTGACTTCTCCTACTATTCTTTCTAATACCTCTTCATTTCTAACCTTCTCTATCCACGGTATCCTCATCATTCTGTTGCACCTGTATTAAAAAATAATTAAAACCTGTGTTAGAAGTTACAGTCGCATGACAAACAGTTAGAAAACGTTTGGTATATTCGACAAAACAGCCCCAAAATGATAGATTTCACGTTTTTCGTTTAAGATATGTTAAAAACATTCAAGAGGCTACTCGCCAATCCAACTTTGATGTTAAATAATTTCGCCGCCGTTTTCTACTTCTTGGGATACATGCCTTATTGGATATTTCTGCCAAAATATATTGAATCTATTTACCACCAGTCTGCTTCAGCGTCAAGCCTGATCACTGGTACAGTTAGTTTGGTATTTTCCGCAATAGGCGTGTTACTGTCTGGTGTAATTATTTCCAAATGTAAACCAAGAGCTCGTTATTTGGCCGCGTGGAATGTAATAGTTGGCGCTGTTTCTGTAATCGGGATGATTTCTTACGCCTTCCTCGGATGTATGGAAATAAAGAACAAAAACCCTCTAACACCATCTGGGGAGTGAGTATATCTACGTATTAAGGAAACACTATTTGGTGTTCGTTATTGTTTTAGATTAAATCCTAAGTTTCCTTGTAATCAAAAATGCCATTGCGATTATGTAAAATATAACCCAGTATGTTCTGAAGATGGTAAAACAACTTTTATATCTGCTTGTCATGCAGGGTGTACGGGGAAACAAAAATTCAACGGTTCTTTTGTTTATTCAAATTGCGCTTGCATCTCCCCCGTTAGTTCAAATGTTTCCCTGGCGCTGCCAAACAATCTCCTCGAAACAAAAGAAGAAACTCATGGTCAAGGTGGTAAAGCCTTTCAAGGCAATTGCCCCATTGATTGCGTCAACAAATTTTATGTATTTCTTGTTGTTGTATGTATTTTGAAATTTAGCGGGGCTACAGGAAGAGCATCGAATTTTTTAGTTACAGTAAGGTAAAGAAAATACTAAGTGTTATTAAACAGGGATTTAAACTGTTTGAAATTACAGATGCGTGGAAGAAAGGGATAAACCAGTAGCCATGGGGTTTGGAGTAATGGTAACAAGCCTTTGCGCTTTTATTCCATCTCCTATATTGTTTGGATACATTCTAGGTACAAATAACTTCTGTCGCACACTAATTGGGGCTGAAACTAAAATCAATTCTGTTTATAGATAAGGCATGTTTGGTTTGGGGAAAGACTTGTACAGGAACAGGAAACTGTTGGCTGTACAATGGCGAAATATTAAGGTATAGAATGAACTTTACTGCAGCCAGCTTTGTTACCATAGGAACCATATTTGACTTGGGTGTCTGGTACTTCGTGAAAGATTTGAAAATCTTTGACGAGGAAGTCGAATTAGAGCTTAAAGATATTAACGAGGAACCGCGTTGAATAGTACAAATTTTCTGTAGTTCGCACAGCTTTTTGTGGAAAATAAACTGTGTTTTAAGAAATGTACACTTAACGTATAATTTTTGCCTTTTCATTTAAATGATTTATTTTCAATATCTAATCAAAATTTGCCGCTCCGTAATTTCTTTATTCAGTACGAAATGTAAAAAAACTGCTAAAATTTACATAGTAACTATAAGGTACATTGTAATAGTTTATTTAATTACATATTATTAAAGCATAAGTTAGAAGTCAGATTCTAAAATTGAATTTGCTTTACTGTCATTGTTTTTTGTTGTGATATTATCAGTTGTTGTTTTGAAACTTTCGTCGTCGCTGCCTTGAGGGTTTGAGTGTACTTCTGCCTCAATGTTGGTCTTTACTAGTGGAAGTCCTTTCGCGAGGGAGAAGTCTAACCGTTCAGGTTCAGCAGTAATTAACCGGTTTATTTCAAGATTGTTATTGTTATTATTATTGCTATATTCTCTTATATCATCTTCAGGAATAGCTGATGATACCGGACTGAAATCCTTTAATCGTGAATCCTGATTACCGTTTGTTGAGGGCGAGGATGTTCTAAACAAGTAATCCCTGCTGTGGTTATCTCTTCTGCTTTCTAATTCTTCCAGTTCCTCATCATTTACCCTGTTGTTGTCTTTATCATCTTTAAGGTCTTTGTAGAGTTCCAGCTTTCTCACAAATATACAAAGCAATATACTCAATAAAATTGCGATAATCAACAAAGCGACGGTTGTTGCAGTCAGAAATATTCCAAGTCCTTGCGAATGTAATCTACAAACTCCATTGGATGCTCTGTACTGGCAGAACAAATCTGAAAATAATTTGAAATGTTTAAATCATCAAATAAACTGATCAGATTATTATCTTAATTTAACATACCGGCCACAACCAAATACACTATTCGGAATGGTATGTACGGTATGATTCCAAGGAAAGTGATATGAAATCCTAATGCTACACATTTATCAACGGAATTGACGCATCTCAAACTTATCATGATCGAAGTGATGATGGTAGATGCTAGGAACCCAGCTGCTATAATGTCATTAGCTTGAGAAACACCCCAAAAGGTTTGGCAATTTTTATTGCAAGATCCTAAAGTTGCCTTTGTGTCCACATACGTGTGGATATTACTACCACAGGTGCAATTTCCAAATATCTAACATTAAAAAAAACGCAAAATGTTCAAAACAATTTTTGGCCTTTCTCCAACGTGACAATTACCTTTATGCCATTGACGTTTTCAACAGTGGTGCACCCAGCGTGGCATGCTGAGAAGTAGGTGGTCTGACCAATTTCCGAACAAACTGGTGAAAATAAAATTTCTTCAGAACAAATACATCTACTGCTGCAGAATGGCGTTGTTATTCTATCTCCAAGTTCAGTTTGGAGTGATTTGTCACAATTATAGAAAGCTAAAGATCCGAATGTGATTATGGTAAAACCGAGCGCTTTCCCGTTCCATAACGCCAAAGATTTTGCTTGCGGTTTGACTTTTGATATGAAGAAGCCAGTTAGTACAATTGAAAGTGCCATGAAGGGTTGTTTTATCAAATTTGTAGTTATTTGCGATAGCCACGGGTCGTTGTAGCCAGAAAGGTCGAAACTTTCTTTCGGAAGATAGAAATACGATTCGTAAAATATTGGTCGCATTAAGTCGTAATTGACCATGGCAGAAAATATGACAGCTGAGGTGAGAACGTTGACAATTAATATTTTATTTCTGAGTATTCTCCATATGGTTTTAAAGAAACCTAAAATAAAATGCTTTCTAAATAAGACATGGTCTGATGTTAGTCAATATACCATCGTCTGCTTCCGTTTCTTCTGCTGGTTCGACACCATTAGCTACATCTAGTATTGATGCAACAGCTTTCTTTAGCAGTACACTAGGTAAGCTTTTTGGGAACATAGCGATTAAAGTCCCAGATATGAACAGAAATATTGACATAACAAGAAATGCTGAAAAACTAATTATTAGTATCAGCATCATTAATAAAATTTCTTGTACCTGGCGCTAAAAATACACGAGCGGACTCTTTTGACACCACTGTCCATGATAAGTTCATCCCTACTTGTTTACCCACTTCCCTGGAAGCTAGTACAACAGCTGCAACATAGAATGTATTTTTTCAGTTTAATTCTGTATTGTCTATTCCTTTATCACCTACCTATGAAAATTGGACTATTTTTCATCTCAACGCTATCGTCTATGTAAGAAATTGTAATGGCGTAAAGAGCTACTTTTCCCAATGCAGAAAATGTTTGATAAAAGAAGAGAACACCAATTGCAACTTCGTTAAAAGCGCCTGCAGTCTCGTTTATTGTGGTAGCATTGAGGGTTGTTGAGCATAAATTATTATCGTCTAAAAGGGAAACTTAAGTAAAGAATGTTTTATTGGAGTATAAAAGCTGCTTGACCTTTCGGGAATACTTGCCCATGAAAGGGATAAAATACTTCAGGGACTATAAGCAAGAGACCCATAATTGATTGAAAAATTGTAAGACCTCCGATCCATGATGCCCTGTGGATCCTGTTTGCCCAATAGGATACGGTTAAAGCTAAGACACCACAAAGAATTTCATCCAATTTGAGGAACCATTCTGGAAAAAGGTTTACCAAAGAGGAGTTTTTTATTAAAATTTAAAACACCTGACGTTTGATGGCTTACCAAGAGAATTATCAGGTAGTCCATGTTGTCTTTTCCAAATGGTTGAAGTTCCTTGAAAATAAGAAAATAGTGCACCTTGTATCACACCGATATGTATTAGTATGTAAAGAAGAACTCCGATTTTGGCAAATCTTTCTAAATTGATCCATCGATTCAGGCAAGGAAAAACTGACAGACCGCAGTCTACAGGATTTCCTGATAATTTTTCAATAGGTGCCGAAAACTGACTCGCCCCATCGTTAGAGTCACTCCTTAAGATGTCTCTAGGATGAACCATTTTGTATATTGAAACTACCGAACTTTATTCTATGTATTTAATTATTGTCATTAAGTTAAACGACATTTTTACACCAGTACATACAGTTTACTACATTCTTTACTCATTTTGTTATCAGTATAAGTACATAATGATATGTTAGTATTAGAGATAATACTACCTGAGTCATGTTTCAGGTGAAATGAATGATACTAAAGATAAAAAATTAAAACATTACATTGGTTCTTTGATGGTATAAACAAATCTTACATATTCATTACTTTTTAATTGCACTATAACATTAACAATGTAATTCTAAACTACAAACGTAATATAACGAAACGTAAGATGCAATTTGAAAAAGTTTTTCCTCAAGTTTTCCCGGGCAGTATAAAGTTTTACTGCATAGGGAAAGATGGCAGCAGCATGAGCTTTTGGTCACTTAAGTCTATTCGTACATAAGCAAATTTCAGAAACTTACATAATTTAACAGCAAAACATCTATAAAGCAAATTGAAAATTGTTATTATAAAATTATTTATTAATAGTTGATTTAAAAAGCAAGGACAACTTATGAGATCAATATCTACTTCGTACACATGTATTGTAACAGATGGCAGCGTGATGCAAAATTAGGTCGAAGGACCCGCACGAAAAGAGAAATCAGGAAACAGCCCGCATTTTGAAATACTTTCTCAAATAAAAGGCATAAATGATACCAATTGCCGCAAATGCAGTTAGTTATTCGACGAGAGAACCTTGTGAAAAGTTATGATTTGGTCCTTGAAATTAATTTGTTGTACAATATTCATCCAGAACAGTGCGTATGGATTTCCTGCGTATGTTCCAGAGTGGAATAATTATCCATCTTCAGGGTGGAATCCTTCAGATTGGATGTATAACTATGGAGCACCTTCCGTTAATGATCACCATTTTGAACACGATCATGATCACGATCACGAAAAGGATCACCATCACGTTAACCAGCAGCAAATTATAATTCATGATTCCGTACCAACAACATTAACGGCTAAGGAGAGTTACCGTGATAGTAATGGTAACGTTATCCAAGATATGATAACCCATATTACCACGACAGGATTCGACTACTCCAATGAGTCTATACCGGATGATAACGCCGTCACCGTAAAGAAAATTAAAAGAAATCAGCCGATGTTCAAAACCAAATCAACTAATAACAAGAAAAACCGCATGAAAAATACAAAGAGGAATAACGGTAAAAGAAAGAGGATTAACAGTTCAAATACAAAAAAGTCCTCACCTCTAAAACAAAGAAGAAAAACAACCTCTACAAGTTCGAAAAGAAAACTGAGCGACATTAATAAAAAGCTTTATAGAAGTCGAAATCGCTTTTGTGAATTCGATGAACTGTGCAGGTACCAGCAGTTACAACCCATAAGAAGGAGACCATATTTCGATTACGATTACTACAATTCGTTACCATTTCGATACAATAGATTCCGTTACAGGGATCCTTTGCCTTACAACTCACAATTGGAAGACGACGACTATTACGATTACATAGAGAATTTAAACAAAGACAGTGATCAAAGACCAGCTAAGCAACAAACAAGTTCAGAATCCAATTCTGACGAAACAATTGAAAGCTCTTCTACAACAACTGAACAATCTACCACGTCAACAGACATGTCAACCACAACAGTTTCAACAACAACTAATAATGCCACAGGGTACGGTTATGGTCCAAGTAATGGGAACGAAAATGTAAGTTTTACAACTGTTGTGCCCGCACGTCAGGAAAATAACGGACATTTTGATTATTCGCACCCAGGATCGTCAGGAAACGATTACTACACTATAGTATCATATTCAAATCCAAATAAATTTAGTTTGCAATCAACTGATCACGATGTATTTATTCGATCAGCAACCGAACAAGTTCTAGCTAAAGTTAAAGAGACAGTTGGATGAGTTGTAGTTTTTGGTTCATATAAACGATAGCTTTAAGTGGGACTGTAGATTAATTCTTAATACCTATGTAAATAATTTTAGAAACATTTTTGGATTATAATGATTGATTTTAAATCGATTCAAATAAATTGCACAATAAATTCTAATGTCAGCTTTAATAGACACATCATGGGGAGGTGTCTCCCTCTGTTATTGATACTTAATTAATCATTAATTAAAAAGCGAATTATAAATCATAAAGTAGAAACAATTTCTTTCATTAGATATATTATCATTCTTATACTGCACATTCATGTGTAGACTGTATCTGGTTTCCGTTGTCCTTTAAAGCGTTATTAAAAATCGCCATCTAGATTGTACCTGCGTGATAAAAACCTAGCGACCATTGCATGTTTAAAGAGCAAGTACATTCGAATGATATTTTATCTGTCTTATTAAACGGGACTATCGCATAAAAATTTCAAAGTAAAATAGAGTTTGAGTCCTTTTTTAATAATGACGTAAAATTTTGTACGCAGTTCAACGACAGATAGGTATACTAAAAGTCATTTGAAAAACGAGGCCATGCCTCCATTAGTAATTTTAAGCAGTAAACTCAAACAATACTATGCTCGTTCTGTTTATGTCGTAGTTTAACAAAATTGTGCCAAGAAATGGTTCAACGTACAAAAATAAAAATATGGGACGAACCAAGAGATAATTCATTGTCTTTTGCTTTATAATCAACACATTTTTAAATTCATATGCTAGTAGCTAGTTAAAAATGACTGCTCTAAATAATACGGATAGGCCATCTATTTATTTCCTTGTTATGTTAAAATCAATTATGAAAGCACTTTTTTGTTATCGCAGTAAAATATTACTTTAGATCATCGTAAATAAAGAAGAAGTGTTTAATGATGTTTCAAACTCTAACTATCTTCGTTTTAGGAACCTAAAAGTTTAAAATTCATCTTTATATCCTTCAAAAAAACCTAAAGTTTTTTCGAGTAAATGTTTAATAATAATTTATTTTGGTTTATTTTACATTTTACAACTCTATTGATTAATCCTTAATTAAAATATCTGTTTAACAGCAGCTTTACAATATCTAAATCGTATATTCATTAATTAATCGTACGGTAACTCGTTTGAAATCTAATGAAACTATCTGTTAGAAATCTAAAAAGCGGAAGGCACTGTAAATCACAAAAAAAATAAAGGATGTACTGTTTTTGAGTTCTAAAATAGAACTTTATATTGGCAAGCAGTATTCGCACTGAAAAAAAGAAGTCCGTAATGTCACAAGTGCGCGTCTTGATAAATTTAGAACAGACAGTGCAACCTTTACAACAAAGCATTTGTTGAATTATTAAGATGCTTACTAAAGAAAGAACAGTGTTTGGAAAATGTCCACAATATTTGCATATTTACGTAACACCAAGTAATTTAGGAAAATTAAGATAAAATAACGCACAATAGCAAATCAGTTGTACCTATATAAAACTGTAAATGCAATTAGTTTTATATCGGTCAAACAGGACGATCATTTGATAAAAGTATTAAAGAACATTTTAATTCGTTTAAAAATCTAAAAAAAAATACTCAGATTATGTAACACATTCAATTACAGAATTGAAAATGTTACATACAGATTGTAAAAGTCATAAAATTACCCTCACATACGGGATAAGTATCCTATATTATGAAAGAAAATGCTATTATTCGAATATATCGAAAATTGGCTGAAACATTACGCAGAGACAAAATATCTAGGATGTTTAACATAAATATGAAAAGTTTTCAGTCGTTCTACGTAGGCTGTGAGACGTTTTCATCTTTTTCCAAACCATTTTCATCTTTGTTTAGTAACGCTGCGTCGTCGTACTGGGACGTGGATAACTCGAAGACAGTAATATTTCTTTCTGGTAGACGTTCAAAACCTTAAGCGCTACTTAAAATAGACGCAAAAAAAAACTACGTGACGCTCATGGCCCGAGAGATTAAAAATATTTTCCTGGATCATTTACAAAAGTTAAACAAAATTTATTTAACAACAAGTAACGGGTCGAGCAACTGTCACTGCACCTTAATGAACCATCAAAATAAAACCAGGATAACAGTTGTAAAGCATGTAAAAAAAGGCATATTTTTGAGTAAAAGGGAATTTTTTTTTAAAAGTAACGAAATAACGCTTCGTCTTGATATCTTAAACCTTCCGATAAAATAATGTAAAATTAGAAAAAACAAGAGACAGTTTTTGTACACAAAGTCGAACGTTTGATTGTAAATGCATGTATGTAACGGCCTTCTCAAAATAAAACGCTATAAACCTGTCACTTTGTGGAGAAAATTATCCACAGTTTGTAGCGTTTTCTTACGACAACAATAATTATTTTTAATTCATTCACTCGATTGACTTTGAGTTTTATTTTTTTATAAAACCTTTCGCGAAATTGTGACACCATCAATAACATCCAAAACTTTTTGAAACAATAAAAGAAATGCACAGGTCGAATCTATCTATATGATGATCATGATGGCGTGAACTACGCGTAACGGAAACCCCGCATAATGTGACCGTGAACAAATTTTCTGTTATGGAATCGAATTTCTATTGCCGATTATTACGTAATTGCTCTAAATTGCCAATATATTTCGTACTTCCCCAGTAGTTAAAGCAAAATATATTTTGTATTGTTATATCTGCATAAGTAGGCCCGCAAAAAATGGTGTTGTATCTATATTGTAACATTAGTTTCGAAAAGTATTAGGAAGATGGTGAAAATTTTCAGTAGCGAACAGATTTTTATGTGTTTATAGACAGTGAGATCCAAAATAAACATTCAACACAAAATATTAGACAAGCCTACTGAGTGATACATTCGATTTAACACGTTTTAAAATCCTTCCGGACTCATTATTTTGTATTTATTACAGGCAGGAATAGCGTCCTCATTATTTTTAGATGCCGCGTTTGCAGGATATTACCAACAAGAAAACACTACTTTTCTTTACACACTAAATCTTATCTCGCGTGAATGCGCCAGCTTCTGACTGAATTTATGTCTTATTAACTCGCTTAATATTCGTACGCATATACCTTCGTCTTCATGATACTTAATTTAAAATTTAATTAAAAATACCATTCTTTTTATTGTAATTTGAGGTCCAAATATTTTTCGCCTAAAACCTTTCCGGTTATCACGTCGAATATGTTCAAATAAGTAAGTTTCAACAGATTAATTTTCTAAGGTTTCTCAATTTAAATTACAAGCACTAATTGTTTTACTGTCGGTTTATACGTAGAAGAACGAGCAAGTTTCACTTTTTGTCAACCCCAGTACCGACGATCGCTTGACACCCTTTTGTATTAAGTATAGGCATTGTTTATCGAAGTACTATTATGTTGCCCTAAAGTTCTTCAGCTGTGAATTCCCTTACCCTCTGCCAGAATATGTGATACTTCCTCTGGACAGATTTCAAAAAGTACTCTCAACTTTATCTACGAAACTCCAGCCAACTAACTTCTAAAATCATAATTCTAACATCCTTGACATTCATTGAGCTTTCGTAATATTGCTTGAGATAATTTAAATTAATCAATCATTAATTAAATAAATAATACTTTTTTTACTGAAAAGAGAAACGTACTCGTAAAGGTTCAATACCCAAAAGGATTTGAGGTTTAGAGAATAATACACAAATTCTTGAAAGTACGCAGGGAATTTTATAATAACGAAAACGAATACCATTTAGTTTTTATCTACAAACCACGAACGCGGGTGTTACTTGAAACAATAAAACAACAATAACAAATAATTCTGCCACGTAAAAAACGTTGGAACGTAAGCTGAAAATTAAAATACAATATTGTTTCATTATAATAGAGATATGTTGATGAATTACATAGCAATTTGTATAGATATATCACACTCTGTCGAAAATTGTTTTAACTTGATTGTATTTAAAACATATGGTAGAAGTTCAGTATGTTTATCTTCGTTACATTAAAAAGAATCAAACGTGAATGCGTGGCTGCGACACCATATGTGATCGCCACAACTTCATCAAATGTAACCCGACACTAAAAAGACGTTCGCAGTGTTAATGACTAGCTGGCACATTCAAATAATCTTCGACTTCATTGTTCACTTAATAATAATATCAATTTATCATCAACTACGTAATATTAAGATTCTTAATCGATCGTATTGATTATCCAGAATTGCTATTTGTAATTTGTATTTTTATGACCATATAAGTCACATTTCACTTTTTGGAAAATGTATGTAATAATTCATCCACTTTTTGCAATGATTGAATTATTTTTGTTCGAACTAGCAAACTGATTGCTTACAGTCCATGATGATAATTTTTTTTGGAATATCGCTAGATTTCCACACGAATCCTGACGATACGGAAATTGGTGGTTGTTTGACAGAGCAATATATACATACATAGCCATGAGTGCAGAGACCCAAGAACGGTGGGAGCAGGGTGTCTGTCAGATCTATGCATAATTTCGCCCCTTCGATGAGGGCACAGACCCAGACCAGGTGTTCAATGCATCGTTCATGCATTCGCCAAGTATAACGACAAAGGGGTAGTAGTAAATAAGCACGCGCAGATGTACGAACATTATAAACATGTATATGTACATATATATATATATATATACACACTTATTTGTACATATAATATATAGTTTCGGCGAGAATGCTGAATATGGAGCTGTATAGGTACCTACTTAAAGTAGAAATTTATTTTAGATACTATTGCTATCAGTAATTTTTCTTTTAAATAAATAGTCGATTTACTAACGTAAACGAGGTATGAAAATTGGTGATGGAATTAAAAAACTGATAATAAAAGATAGTATTTAATGAAATTGGCAAAAACGAAAGGAAGGCGATGGCAGAGCGATAGATTATTTTCATTGTCAGTTTTTCGCGACGGCAGCGTCAACGGCGGCGGCGTCGTGAGGCGTCGAAAAGCTGCGACTATTTTGGCTCCTTCAGACGTCCATGCGGTCGGGATGAGTAGAAAGGGACAAAAAATGCTTCGGACAATTATTGGCCCCGGTATTATTGTGCTGGGAATGTGTGTGTAGTTCCCCCCTCCTGAGCTATCCAGGAGGCGCTTCGTACAAATGTTGGTGTACGCACTAACGTCCCATGTATGTACACCGACAGTGGTCGCTTTTATCATATGTGTTAAAACAAATCTCCGAACTCCCGAAGTCACCTTCCATTATCCACGGCATCACAGCTGAAGCAACTTGTGTCTTTTTGCTCTGATATTGTGGAAACTCGGCTGACAGCTGCAGAGTTAAATTTAGTACCTAGTGATTGCGCAGGCAGCCGCAGCTAACTTCGAATTCGCAGTCAGTCACACACTGCACGTGCTGGGGCCATATGGACAACCTACTGCTTCCTGGGGTGTCTTTATAAGCTCTTTTCTATTCACGCAACAACTCCGACCGCATATTGCCGTTTCCCATTTAAATACCCAATCGCACTTTTCGCGCCGAACAGTGAAAGTTTCCAAAAGTGTTGTGAACCGAAAGGAAGTAGTTATTCAAGTTGTACAAGTCAAAGAAAAACTAGTCCGAAAATGTTGATGCCTGGTGCTGGATTAGGTTCGACGAATGAAGCGGAGAGTCTGGTTGGCGGACTCGGTCTGGGAGTCCTTGGAGCTAGTGCTTTGAATGGGACTGGCGTGCAAAACAAGGACACCACGTGGACGAAACTTTTCGTAGGAGGACTACCGTATCACACTAGTGACAAATCATTGCGCGAACATTTTGCTGTTTATGGAGACATTGAAGAAGCCGTTGTGATTACAGATCGCCAGACTGGAAAGAGCAGAGGATATGGATTTGTAAGTAGACCAATCCTTACAATCGTCACGTTACTCCTATCTCTGAATTTACAACTTTGACTTGGGAGCTGAGACTTGTTTTATTTTCAGGTGATAATGGGGGATCGAGCAGCTGCCGAAAGGGCCTGCAAAGATCCAAATCCCATCATAGATGGACGGAAAGCAAACGTAAATCTAGCCATATTAGGGGCAAAACCGCGAGGCAATGTACAAACTGGTATGTTGAATTTATATGATGCATGATTTTGATGTTGTTTTCAAAAAATACTACTTTACTTTTCTGACGATTTTGTCCAAGTTCATCTGGTGATTTTTGATAAAACATTTTGGTAGGCAGGCAGTTGCCCATTTTATTATATTTTTGGAAAACAAAAATACCACTTACTATTTTTACGATAGATCTTCCAGGTTTGTTTCTATAATTTAACTTGTTGGTCGTTCAACTAATGTGTATGTATTCTATTTTAAACCTCCCACACTAAAATTCAATATTCTTATGTCTCATCCGGGGAAAAAACATTTCCTGTTAAAAAAAAAAAAGGATAAAAAGTCCACATTTACATTCGGTTTGATTTATAAATAGTTTTCCTCACTTGTACCAATTCATTATAATAAGAAGGTACAATTTGGATCGTCTTTTAAGAATCCCGTGGACATAATAATAATTTTTATTCGCAGTTTTGAGAACGAACGCCTTGTATGTGTATTATTTCACACTTTGTTTCCAAATGAACTGGATTCAGGAAAACAAATTTTTGACGAAAATAGCAAAAGTAATAAAACCGGAAAACGTAAATAATACATTGTTTTATAGCTTTTGTAATTAGTTTAACATATGTCCATGCAACTTATTGTACTGTATCATCAGAATTAAATGTTGAATTTGAATCTTTCTAAATATTACAATTATTTGAATATTTATACCGTCGTATATCATCAAATTTTAGCTTCAACTGAATATTTATAAAAAGTTCGAAATTAACATGTAATTCGTACTTGAACGAAATGATATCGAATACATTGAGGTAATCGGCATCGTCCTATGATAAAACACCTCTTTTGTTATCGTGCCCAGGTAGCCGTGCGTCGATTACTTCCTAAACTTCCGGTGAACCCGGAAACCATAAAGACTAACACATACGTCGTGTGGCGATGCTTTAGTAACTGGCCTAATTACAATTGAAAAGGGATTTTTATTCTAACCATCAAATATACAACAAGACAGACTTTTAAAAACTAATTTAGTTTATTCATCTTCTGACTTATCCCTTTGACAGCGAATTACCGTTTAATGGCACCTCCGATGACTAAACAATAAACTCGAACGTTTCTGAGTAATAATGTGTAAAAATTGAAAAAGAAAAATAAGTAGATTGTTATAAGTGTTGTGTGTTTTGTCGCTGTACCCACGCACCCGGGATTTGTGAAACATATGGTGTGTTTATAATATGGTAACGGTACCCATGTATTTATATACATAAGGCACCTATGTGTAATTTACGTAGTAGTATTTGAAAGAGCAGCTGAATGCGTTACTATTACTAACTGTTCAGAAGACCCTTTATAATAATAATTCAGTTAGGCGAAGGGTGAGAGTCTTATATGGGGGAAATATTGCCCTAGTAGTCCTGCTCAATGCTGCACATACGACTGAATCGAAAGTTGATTCGAGTTACACAGAAAACAAACTTTTTTCTAACGTCAATTAATTTAGGCATCTAGATACTTACACCAAATCATATCGTCATCTAAAATATTTTAAACGTTCTCGACGATAAGAATAACATCTTTTGTCCTGTTAAGGAATTATCTTTTGTTGTATTATCCTGTATCCTGCCGTACGCTATTATTTCCCTTTCAGGATGGTTTAAAAGGGGAACTACTTTCTCATGATATTTGATCTTAAACCTCTTTATCATGACATGAATTAATACCAAATGTTTTCTCAAATCTAGGGAGTTTTCTTATTGCCTCTTACGTAGTACATCAATTAATTTTGTTAATTGTACGTATAATCATTATCGGAAAAGGGCTTTTGTGGCACTTATTGTTAATGTCAGTTACTTTATTGGTAATGTAACTTCTTGTCTTTGCATGTAAATAGAGTATCACGCGAACGTATCGGTAAATAAAGGTAAAAAGTACACAACGTTACATTTCTTTTTCCAGGATTCCCATTTGCTGGTGTGCGAACTGGCTACCCGACGTTGCTCCCTGGCCAGTATGGGTAAGTAAGATTAATTACTGTTTTCTCAACAACTACTACAATTCTTCACAGTAAGCTAATTTAGAAATGTCCTCGCAAAATATGGTGACGTGTGATCCGAACATCCGACTCTATCAAAGCGAATACTTATTACAGATCACTGAATTCCACAGAAGCTTTCTGTCAGGAAAATCGAACTCCGAATGCCTAACGAAATAAAAAGTCTACGTTTTATGTCAATATTGACCGATTTTGTACAAGTATTGATTATTTTTTTAAGGAGTTAGTTTTCTATCCATCGCCTTTCAGTGTAATGGCAAAGTACAGCTCTCGTTTATCCGCCACCTCGCCTTCAATTATTTCGAAGCCTTCCGTTTGTTTTCCTTGTTGAAATTTTAATGAAAATCGAATTTCCTGACCGAAATACTTCTGCGGCTTACGTGATACATAATGTATATTTTCAATCACAAAAATTCAGAACAAATGGTTACGTTAATTCTATATGATTTCCAGATTTGAAATTGGCTGAGACGTTGCCCGCCCCGAATTCACGTAAAGAATTAGCACAACGATGAGTGTTTGTGAGTGTGTGTGTGCGTGTGGTTTTTTTGGTTAGTTATTGAGCTCCATATTATTTATTTTAAGAGGCGTTAGCGGGCTTTTCATTACTTTTCTTGACACTCGAATATACTGGTTTCCATTACTTTCTAAACTAGTTAATAAACAACTCTGGAATGTTAGCAAGAGCAGCTCAAAATTTTAACAAAACCCATAACATAAGTCCGAACAAATTACTCCTTCATGTACAAATGCATCAGGGTAATAATTAATTAAATTAACCTGCTACAATTTATAAAAATTATAATTGAAATCTTCTGGTTTTGTTTTTTTGTAAAGAAAAAAACGTTCGTTACTCGGAAGACTCCTACTTCGTGAGCAATGTTCCGGTGAATAATACATTTGATAAAACAATGTCGAATCATATTGTCATGATTCCGAACACGATAAATTTTTGATAAATGACTAGGATTTATTCAGTTTTCCTGCACATGGTCAATACTAATAACGATCGAGTTTGCCTGAAAATTCTTAATCGAGATCTGTAAAGATTGGTCTAACTTTTGGCCTTAGATAATCGTGAAAATTAAAAGTTTTTATTGAGTTACTATTAGTATTCAATTGAAGTTCAAGTACTTAAATAGAAAAGATTAAAGCTTCCCTAAGTTGATGAAAATTTTACAGATTTATTCAATATTTAAGTTGCTTTTCTAAATGATACCCAAGTATTAATATGACCACGCACATGCATACCTATGCGTAGAATTTATACCCTTTTGTGCGTTAATGAATTAACAATTAGTAGATAATTATCTTCATTTAGCACAAAATGGGTTGGTTGATTTAAAAATTTTTGATTTTGTTTCTGCAGAATCTCAATTTTTTCATCTATTACTCGTAGATACTGGTTTCTAATGTAAAATTCCTTAATAATTTGACCATTATTTTAGTCTAACTGGTATAAGGTCGCTCCATTATTATCCATAATGTGGAAATTGTGTAGAATTTTCACAGTTACCCATACAGAAATAAATGCCAGTTTTAGTCAAAGAGAAATTGAGTGAAAGTGTTAAAAAAATTTTTTAAAGCATAGATACTTGAATAATATTTATGAGTTTATTATGTTTTTGATCGACAGATGATTTATTACTCCCGCTAGCGCCCTAATTCGGGGATACCGCCCCAAATCAAATTGGTGGCGGACGCCCGTATTTTGATGTTTGCTGTGAGGTTTTCCGTTTTATTTTAGTGCTGATTATCATAATATCTTTGATGTTCGTTTTTTTTTTTTTGTATAACTGACGACTGCAATGTAACACTAACGCGAAACTAACTTGATATTGTCGATGTGCTTGGTTGTATTAATATTTTTGGGGTGTGTTACAATGCAGCCGATGGTGGCGGTGTTCAATTTTTTTCGTCAAGTTCTTAAATTGTGCTTTCTATCTTACCGAAATGATTTTCATCGAAGTGAACGTCCATTATTGAGACAAGCCGTATTATCTAATGAAATTGTTTATTTCTTTTTCTGATCTTTGTTTGATGTCTTTATTGAAAAGTATACTCTTTTTGTTTTAAAACGGATTTTCAGTAATGACGATATTTTTAGCAACATGTGCCAACCTAAATCACTATAATAATAATGATAATATTCTGACTTAAACTTGTATGTATGCTTGTCCATCGCTTAGTTAGGCGTGGAAAAAATGATCGAAAACTGTACTTTTCTGGTAAAGATTGTAAAAAGATAACAACGAAAAAAGAACGCTTTCTTGCCCTGTAAACATAATCGGTGCGGCGATCTCCTCTGATAATACAATATTCTGAAACTATCAAAATATCTAATTAAAAAATGGAAAGGTTCCTTAGGTCTACGTTCGATATCCAAGATGAGAATTTTTCATTAAAACTCACTATTATTGACATACAATTGAGCAAAAAAATTTGTTTATTATAAAATTATTTTTCGGTACGCTGTATTTTCTTCAGGGTTCGTTGTTAATATTGTAATTAATAGTAACAATGAAATGGCGGTTTTTATGAAGGTTATTTTTTTTTAATTTGTAGTTGTTTGGTTAAGGTTGAAAGCACAATGTTAACATTTCCGAATATTGGTTATATTATAATGTAGAGAGCGTGTTGACAGGGTGTGTGTGGCTTCGTGTCTACTCGCGACTTTATGCGATGCTATGCGAGTCCTTACAGCGTTAAAGATGCTACAATTTTTCATTAGTGGACAAATCAGAGGCGTATTTTTACTAGAAAGTAATAAAAAATATACGTAACATATATATCTCTTAAAATATGAAACAGAAACAGGTACATATCGATATTTCCACTAGTTAAATTAGGCAAAGTTTTAATTATTTTACCTACCATTGTCTACCGTTATTACTATAAGAGTTTTTAATTTATTTTATTTCGTAAGTCCCCAATACCAGTTGTGAATGAAATTGCATTGACGTGATACAAAACTAAAAAAATTTTAAATACGCCCCTGATCATGTTTTACTGTTGTGCTGTTTTCTTTGTAGTTTAGAGTTCTTTTAAAATGTGCGTAATCAAAACACGGGGTACTTTCTAAAAGTTTTATTCATTTTACAAAAATTGATGCACATTATAAATTATTGCATTTCGGACTTAAAAGTTTTGTAGTACGTATTATTTTTCTTTGGTATCTCTTATAGGTGGATGTAGGGTAAGTAGTATGGATTATTTATTCAACTGAAAGCGAATTCGTATATTTATCCTTTTGAACGAATTCGCTAGAGAAATTTGATTATTTGTAGTGATAAGTCGCTAAGGAAAATTCCTACCTACAAATAAGAACTTTCAGCGATCTTTTCATACACGTACCTAAATAATAAAGTAATAATATGCATTAAATGCAAAAGACTTTGAGAGTTCGATTAGTTTAGGACGTTTTTGGAAAAGTGACGACAAAGAAATGTGTAATTTCTTTGTTCGATAGGAGAAAAACTCTTAATATTCATCAAGTTAAAATGCACCTATATTTCTACCGCTTGTAAATAAATATCTGGTAATTTTACAATAAAGCAGCGATTTTCATTTACTTGTGTTTTGGCATTAGGTACATTATTTTATATGCATACATATCTGTTGAAAGAATCTACCTATAGAATTGCCAAAATCAACGAAACACAATTACTTTGGCACGCAAATACAGTCATTGGTGGACTATAGAGTTGATTGACAATCAGACGGCGTAAAACATTTTTTTTTGTATTTAGTGATTGCTCAATATTATATCTACTGATACGTACCTACATGTGGGTTTGTATCTAGTGATTATATTATATATATATTGCAAGTTATATTCTTTTTATGGAACTGGACTACGTACGTTGTGAATTTTAAAATAAACTTCTTGATCACGGGGTCCTTATTCTATATTTACTAGATGGGATCAGAGGCAGCTGTTACACATTCTTCGCCTTGTCATTAGCGACATTTGGATGGGTCCTTACCGCCTCCACAACTCCACAAGTGCCAACAAACATAGCGGTAGATATTTTTTTCGACACCCAAAAACATATTTCGATGTTCAACTACGACATCATTTATTCCCTTTTAATAAACTTGCGTCAACGTGGACATTTTTCGCTTACCAAGTTTTCCAAAACGGTGTTATCGTCACTTCCATAATTTTTAATATTTAGGAGTTGGGATAAAACGATTTTTTGAACCCTTTTACGACTTTTTGATGGCTAATTTTAAACAATTCTTCTTCATGATGGAAATTTTTACTTGCTATTTTTGTACGTTTTTAATAAACAAAAACAACACCTTCCTTAACATGTTATTTACCAAAAATTTGTTTTCATCTTTATTTTACTCCTTTCTTTTTGTTTTTCTTAAAGTGGATTATTGTAGGTCCGATCGCATTCCAAAGATTCGTCCTGATTTCGTCCTTAAGTTTTGTGAGTAGGTACCAGTTAAAAGAAAATCTAAAATTTGTGTCTTTATGAAGATATGCACGGTTGATAATTTTCAGTTGTTAGGTATATATTTTGTGGAAATTTCACGATAGAGTCGATGAAATTGAGCAATTTCTCGCGAAAAGCTGGAAATTATAAGAAGAGGCGGGCACAAGTGGCTAACACTTTGCCATTGGATAATCTTCCACAAATCCAGCTCGGCTTGCGCCACAAATCTGACTCCAGGACCGGAAGATTACAGGATCCTTGCAGCGCCAGGAGCATTAAACTCACCGAGAGTTTGGTCCTAATTTTACTTCTTCTCGGTCAATCAGTGAAAAGTCGTTTTTATCATGATCGTCCCGTTATTTATTTACAACATTTCAACTAGAAATGATAAGGAAAGCGGTTCGAAATTAAAAGGTTTTATATCCGGAATCGATTGATTATTAATAATGATAGTAATCCACTTTGTGTCCCCAACCTTTTGCCATTAAGTGACTGTTGGTTTGCGTAGGTATTTACTGGTAAAATTGAATACATTTACGGAAAAATCAATTTCGTTGGCATTCAAATAAAACGGAGGGATTTTCCTTTTCTATTTAGTAAACGTAGCGCTAGTGGTTAAATTGACCATTTTCTAAATTACTGCGACCTCCACAATATTGACAGCCTCATACAACATAAAAAAAAACGACTATTTCGTACATATGCATGCCATTGGGCATCAATAATGTATACTAATGACACCAGTCAACCTGATAGATGTTTTCGAAAGATACCCCACGTTATTTCACGTCATGTTCATAATATAATCATTGGCAAAGTAAAGTTTATTACATTATCAACATCAACAACTGCAAATGCAAATACGTATCTACAGTTTAGAACTGAATTTATTTATGAAACACAATGTTTATTTGAAATGGAACCCTCTACTAAAGCACTTTGATTTTTCTTGTCTTTCGTTTACCTTTTAAATTTTCTTTTCTTTAACTAATTTTCTACTAATGCAGTTCTGTCGACTCTTTTTTAGTACTTTTCTTGGTCTACATTTCTTCCTTTCGTATATAAGGGAATATACCTACTCAAATGTGGTGTCTGTTATAAAAATTAAGGATATTTTCGTAAATCGGTCCAGTACTTCAATTTACATTTGCAAAACATCGACGATATTAATGTAATCGTGGATTTCCTTTATTAATTTCTTCTAATGTTGTACGAGGAAGCTGTTGGTGTAATCGTTTCGTCAAGTGAGATGTTAGGATCGTTGCGGTGATTAGAACCGATGTTGTTGGCGCGACTTGCTTTTTAAAGTGTGGTTCCTGATCGTAAATTAGCTTGAAGTGCACTGTTTAGATTAACAGCACAAATGCATGATGGGTTAGTAGCAATCAGAGAAATATAATGGCACGCTATAGATGTTTTATTTTTTTTTTGCATATCTCCAGTATTACTACGGGAGTGTTAACATTGTAATTTCTCTGTGCATAAATTTCCGATTGGAATACGTGTACGGAGAAATTACGAAAAATTTTACCAATATGTTACATAATATGTATTTTTCTCTGATGTTGCGTGAAACGATGCTAGGGAAATCCCCGTTTTGCCTAACAAGTGGCTCTCTTTCAGAGTTCCGCCAAGTTACGTCTACCAATCGCCTTACTTGACTGCGACCACCCCTGGAAGCTTAGTACCTTTACCGGCCACTCAGCTAAGTCATGCAGCCGCAGTTGCAGCCGCAACATCACAATTTTACGAATATCAAAATGCGGCCGTTGCAGCTGCTGCAGCTGCAGCACCTTATGCCGCTGCAACGGGACAATACGCCAACGGATTTGATGCGTACACACCATACTCTGCAGCAGGTAACGTTGTAACACTTGCTGTTGCGATTATTATGTTGTTTTGGCTGCAGTTTTTAAAACACCCAATCCCAAATTTTATACAGGCTTCACAACGCTTGCAATTAATGTAGGTACTTATCTAAGAGGAATTTAAATGTGACGATTGCAAACTTTTTAACTGCTGTACATCACAAAAAAGCAAGTGCAATACATCTTCTGGAGGTTAGGTCACGGTTTAGGAAGATGTCTGTCATGTGTACTATGCATCACACTTAAATTTAATGCGGTACACTTCAGTGGTGTGTGCCACGCTCAAGTGCGCTACACCACATCCAAGTGTGCTACACCACATTCAAATGCGTTGTACCATACTCAAGTGTGATAAACCACATTCACATGTCATGTGCCAGACTCGAGTTTCTTGCACCATATTCAAGTGTAATTTACCACATTTAAGTACCATACAACATACTTAGGCGTATTGCAACACATTTAAGTGCCATACATTACACTTAGGCGTATTGCACCACATTCAAGTGTAATTTACCACATTTAAGTGCCATACATTGCACCACATTCAAGTGTAATTTACCACATTTAAGTGCCATACACCACACTTAGGCGTACTGCACCATATTCAACTGTAATTTACCACATTTAAGTGCCATACATCACACTTAGGCATATTACACCATATTCAACTGTAATATATCACACTTAGACGTATTGCCCCATATTCAAGTGTAATTTACCACATTTAAGTGCCATACATCACACTTAGGCGTATTGCACCACATTTAAGTGCCATACATCACACTTAGGCATATTACACCATGTTCAACTGTAATACATCACACTTAGACGTATTGCACCATATTCAAGTGTAATTTAACACATTTAAGTGCCATACATCACACTTAGACGTATTGCACCACATTTAAGTGCCATACATCACATTTAGGCGTATTGCACCATATTCAAGTATAACACATCATACTTAGGCGTATTGCAACACATTTAAGTGCCATACATCACACTTAGGCGTATTGCACCAAATTCAACTGTAATTTACCACATTTAAGTGCCATACATCACACTTAGGCATATTACACCATATTCAAGTGTAATACATCACACATAGACGTATTGCACCATATTCAAGTGTAATTTACCACATTTAAGTGCTTTACATCACACTTAGACGTATTGCACCACATTCAAGTGTAATACATCACATTTAGGCGTATTGCACCGTATTCAAGTGTAATATATTTATTTATGGAGCCTGTTAAAGCAAATTGGGGATTGGCAATTTTGGGATCTGTAGTCGTTGTTTGTGTTGGTAAAACCGACACTGGTATTGTAAACAATCCCTTTTTCTAGGGGCTGCAGGTTACATGCCATACACTTATGCAACTTTGCCTCAAACTCCTAGTTTACCAGCGGCAGCAACGGCAGGAGCTTTTCCAGGTCTTCCCTACCAGACTGCCGCTGCTGCACAAGCACAAAGCTTACAGGAAACACGATTACAGTAGTTATGAGATTAGGTCTTAGTTGCAAATGGACCTGAAATGTTTATCAATCATCTCTCTACCAAATCGTTTTATCGTTAGTTACGAATAGATGTAGATATAAATACCAAAAAAAAAACGCAGGAAAGTTTTCATCAGTTTTCTTTTAATCTCATCTCGCGTTAAATCAACGAGTCTAGAAAAACAGTACGAGGAAGAAGTTAAAATACACAAATGATAATTATAATAATAATAATTCTTTTTATTTTTTGCGTATTACTTCGTCTAATTTAATAAGGTACTTCTACGTTAGGTTAAGTTAAGTTATTGAATAAGTGGTCTAGTCTCACTCTTAGTCTGTTGATGATCAATTGACAGTAAAGTCTATTATATTAGTGAATATGTCTCTTAGATGTTATATATTATGTAATAATAATAATAATAATAATTTATTCAA